ATATGGATGTCAATGAATGGAACGTATATAAATACCTTCCGATTACAAGATCGGAATAGGAATATGTCTCTCTCTTTCTTCCTCCTACACAAGTATATTCACCATGAATATCAAACTTATTGGTACAATAGAATTCCGAGAACACAATTTTTAGATTGGCAAAGAAGTGACCCGTTCGTATTTTAAGGCATTCACTGAAACCCCGCCCGGAAACCATACCGTGGTTGGTAGGATCGTCAGTCCATATATAATTATGGGTAGGTTCGTCTATATATAATTATGGGTAGGTTCGTCTATATATAATGATAGAAGCATTACTACGCACAATCAATTCGACAATGTGTTAATGAAAAAGATTTTACCGTAAACGGTATATCGTCCGGATAAAGGGGGTTTCAGTATACACAGTATTTCACATGATCCAACCTCACACCTGTCAAATACCACGGTATTAACAAATAACACTCACCTTTCTCAGTGTTTTACGGCAATAAATTGTTTTTGCCTTTGAATGTGTGCGGACTGACGCGACCGGTGGCGCAGTATACGCTCACCTTGTCGCGAACATCTGGTATCATCACTATTGAATGTTCTTAGTCGATTCAGATGTGGTAACCACAAACTGGCTGTTGAAAATGGGCGGTGGGGAGGTGTTGCTAGAGAGGATAGAGTATGTAAATATTGTTTTGATAATCTGAGTGTATCAATTGTGGAGGATGAAGTTCATTTTATTACATCATGTTACTTGTATAACAAATTCAGAAATATGCTTTTGCCAAGTATTTTTACTAGTAATCTTTGTACTCTCGACAAATTTGAGAAAGTTATGACAGATAATTCTTTGTCAGAATCTTTAGCACTTTATATTGTTAAATGCACGCAGGCAAGGCAGGTTTATCTCATGGGTTAAAGGGAGACAACTTTATATACAGTTTACGAATGCTTCACCTCCTCTTGATGATTATAGTAGATCTCTTCTTAATGATTGTAATTGTTGTTTGTAACTTAAAATTGTTGTGACTTGATTATATACACATGTACTCTGGGCTGGAGGCCTTTATTACAGAATAAAAGAGTCTTGAGTATTGAAAGTGATTCATAAAAGCAGGATAATGAGACAGTCGGAATCGTACCATCGAAGCTGCATTTGACAGATATTCTAACGATTGTGGAAACGAATAACGAATCTTATGCAGACGTTTCTAAACAGTAATCGTCCTGAATAACGAGTCTTATACAGACGTTCTTGAACAGTAATCTTCCTGAATAACAAAACATATATAGACGTCCTTAAATAGTAACCTTCCTGAATAACGAACCATAAAAAAACGTTCCTAAACAGTAATCTTCCCGAAAAACGAATCCTGTGTAGACATTCCTAAACAGTAATCCACCCGAAAAACAAATCCTATATAGACGTTCCTAAACAATAATCTTCCCGAAAAACGAATCCTATATATACGTTCCTAAACAGTAATCTACCCGAAAAACGAATCCTATATAGACATTCCTAAACAGTAATCTTCCCGAAAAATGAATCCTATATAGACATTCCTAAACTGTAATCCACCCGAAAAAAACGAATCCTATATAGACATCCCTAAACAGTAATCCATCCGATAAACGAATCCTACATAGACATTCCTAAACAGTAATCTTCCCGAAAAACGAATCCTATATAGACGTTCCTAAACAGTAATCCTTCCGAGAAACGAACCCTATATAGACATTCCTAAACAGTAATCTTCTCGAAAAACGAATCCTATATAGACGTTCCTAAACAGTAATCTACCCGAAAAACGAATCCTATATAGACATTCCTAAACAGTAATCTTCCCGAAAAATGAATCCTATATAGACATTCCTAAACTGTAATCCACCCGAAAAAAACGAATCCTATATAGACATCCCTAAACAGTAATCCATCCGATAAACGAATCCTACAAAGACATTCCTAAACAGTAATCTTCCCGAAAAACGAATCCTATATAGACGTTCTTAAACAGTAATCCTTCCGAAAAACGAATCCCGTATAGACATTCCTAAACACTAATCCTTCCGAAAAACGAATCCTATTTAGACGTTCCTAAACAGTAATCTTGCCGAAAAACGAATCCTATACAGACGTTCCTAAACACTAATCTTCCCGAAAAACGAATCCTATATAGACATTCCTAAACAGTAATCTTCCCGAAAAACGAATCCTATATAGACATTCCTATACAGTAATCTTCCCGAAAAACGAATCCTACATAGACATTCCTAAACAGTAATCTTCCCGAAAAACGAATCCTATATAGACGTTCCTAATCAGTAATCTTCCCGAAAAACGAATCCTATATAGACGTTCCTAAAGAGTATTCGTCAGACACACAGCCGATCAGTGGTGTCCAGGCGAAGGAGGTGTCACTGTTAATAATAGTCATCACTTATTGGTTGACTGACACAATAAAATGAGAGGGTATAAACTTTAAATTGATACCCCTCTAACGTCTCTTTGAACAGTATTGTCGGGCAAAAGAACATTTGCACCCATGTTTGACGGTGGCTAAAACATGAAACAAACAAGAAATGGTTATTCCATGGTGGTGTATTTGATACAGGCACCATGGGCGATATTACATGCATCGTGTCAATGCGTATCTCAAAACAGGTGACGCGCAAATGACGTTTCAAAGAACGTGGGTGTTGCAATTACACAGTATCGAGTAATGAGCAGAGTGAAGCAGATATTGTCATGATCTGTTTCAGTTGGTTCACATACACAAGACACTCTCAATAGCGATTGTGACGGCCACGAACACCAATGCACGCCCAGACGCCGAGGTGTCGTCAAACGCCCGATGACGTCACTGGGGATCCGTTGCCACTCGTTCCTTTGTGCGGTCTTCCTGCTGTTGAAAGTTCTGTTGCTGATGAGGACGCCTCCTCATCTGACGATCCAGATGATCCTTCAATCGTTTATTATAAGGGTAACGCCATTTTTCAGGGCATTATCATTTGCAGAAGCCCGAGGTCTTCCATTAACTGCCCGACGAAGGAGGGCAGTTGAAAAGACCGAGGGCTTCTGCAAATGATAATGCCCTGAAAAATAGCGTTACCGTTATTATAGCTAAAATTGATGGAATTTGTTATCAAATAAAAAGAAACAACAATATCGGTTTTCAAACATTTACTGCAATCAACACGAATGTCACTGACCCACTTTAACAAATATTGAAACGTCATAGAACAAACCAGATAACGTCACTATTGAACGTTACGTCACCTATCCCTATCCTATGACGTCACCTAACAACGGGCGTGATAATGGCCCGTCGTCAAGTAATATGAGGGCATTATCAAGTTACAGTGGCCCGCTCATTTCTGATAACATGCGGGCGTTTTTATGATAATTCTATCCATTTTAGCTATAATGTAGTTTTAAGTCCAGTGAGAGGGCTGGCAATGGAAGAACGGCGACGCTGTGTCAAGCCAAGAAATCCTGGATGACCCTTTGCCTCTTTCTCTGTTGCACCGTTACACGTGGCATATCTACTGTGATATTTCATTACCTGGGATATTTTGGCAAGGATGTATTGAACACCGTTTCTACGGGTACCGGGTACCGCATTTTTACTGATGCGCGTACATCTTCCAAACCAACGGGCTTTGTTCTGGACCTTACGTTTACAGAGTTTCCGCGACTGTTTTCAGCCTAGTAACGTTTTGATAAGTTTTGGGACTTTTTTGGTCAAATCCAATTTTCAAGTGTCTAATTTATTTTGCCCATCAGTTTAGTTTTTATCATGGCGTGTCAGCTTACTGTGGGAGGGACGCCACAATTGGGCGGGACGTAGACTTTTACAACTATTGTGAAACCATGATTCAATCTAGAATTCGAATCAGCGGATCCTGGAACAACTGAGGACCGCAACTCTTCATCGGTAAAAGAACCTTCTTCGCTCTTGACATAGTTTTGATTGCGTGGAATTATTTATTGCGGCCTTCAATATTGGGGATTACCAATCATTGTTTCAAGGAATTTGTCTTAATTTAGTTTGACCAAATCGAATCTTGAACAGAGGGACGAGATGATAAAAGTGGAAAAACTCCGAGGCTTGTCAAAAGACACGAGGGTGAGATGTTATTTATCTTCCAACATCATTCTTCCAACTTTTTCAGTATGTAGCAGTGTCTTAAGTGTAAAAAGTACTGTTGACAGCTTCAGTAGCCAAGCCATTAGTGATGTCATTTGATTGTGACGTCATGGTAACCAATAACGTCATAATTGTCTGCAAAACATTGTGATGCAATTTCATTGCAGCGTGTAGATATCGCTTGATCTCAACCCAAGCGATATCTCCCGTAGGAGACAGTTTGGGATGATAAAATCTCTTCGTTGCCTTTAACATACACTGGGTGTGGCACTGGTGTTGGCGATTGAAGGGAGGTAACTCCTTCCAGCTCCATATGTGTGACGAAGCACATGTCCAAGCTCTTGTCCCATGTCATCAATGGCACTGATTTAGAATCTTCACGAGAGACAAGTTTCGCAGCAAATCTCCTTGTTGTTACATGTGTTGTTAAAATATAATTCGGTGGGACCAATAGGTAGGAAGTATGCCTGCGTGTTTGATCGATTGGTAACAAGGCGGATGTAGTTCTGATGTATTATATGTGAGAGAGCTTGTTTACGCCTCTTTCAACTATATTACAGCATCATCACGATGTTAGACACCATCGACAAACTTCATCAAATACATCCATTAGGGGAATCGACTTTGAGGCTGCATCACTAACCCATCTAGTATGGTCTTTGCTTGGATCTATTTACCTACAGTCACCGTTTGTGTCGAAGTCGAAGGGACCTACGAACATATTTCGAGTTAGGCGAGGTCCGACACAACCGAAAATGATTAATAAAGAAGGAATACGCAGGGACCAAGCTTTTACTTCGAAACAAACGAAAGTTCGACACAACGGTGTTTGACTGTATTAATGTTCAAGAAAAAACAAAGTGTCATCCAAGTTTTATATCTTCTAAATGGGTAAAAAAAACAGGTTTCAGAGTTGATAATTATAGAGAACCTCCTTGATCCGGAGTCGCACATTTTTGAACATTCCAAGCTGTCATCAGGCGGTTCCCGGACTAACGGCTTGTCACTGTCCACTATTGATGCACATGCACGCTGACTGCTTTTGGGGACGACTCTAGTGTGAAGTACTGTCTAAGGGAGGTAACTTCTTTTCCGTTAACTTTGACCACAGCTTCGTAGTCTCCATGGAAACCGCGGGTGGTGAAGGAGGTTCCGGACTGGTCAAGTCTGTGTGTTTCCTTGGTCATCCACTCGTCCTCAGTCAAGTGAAGAAACCTCTGCCCAGCTGCATTCAACTGAAATGCAAGCCACATCACTATAGACAGACAGGATGCTCGGCATCGCGATATTACATCCAGGATATTAACATATAAATATGACAGTCGAATAAATACGAATGAAGCTTATAATTAGTTCAGGTCTAGTGAAGACATTATTAAGAGTAAATCTAGTGAGTAGAGTGATTATGAGAGATCACGGTGTGTCAAAGAGCTGAAGCGTTCTAAGAGAGTGTATGGTGCAAGAGAGCAGAATGGTTATGGGGGAGTACAGAGTGCAAGTAAGCAGTAGGAATTTGAGAGAGTACAGATTACAAGAGAGCTGAAGGTTTAACAGAGTAGAGATTACAAGAGATTATAAGTATTATCAGAGAGTAGAGAGAAGAGTGAGTGAGTGAGTTGGGTTCAGCGCCGCTTTTAACAGTATTCCAGTTATATCGCGGCGTGTGATGCAGGTCTCAGACGTTTACCACTTCGGTGAAACCCACGAGCACGGGTATGGTGCTAACAAACCTAGAAACATAATCGGGGCGAACCGGGATTCGAACCCACAATCATGGGTTTCTGGCGTGCCAAAGGGACGCAACTCTGCACAGCGAATCGCAGCGCCTTATACGACTAGTAAGGGGTAGAGACTTAAAGAGAGCTAAATGACTACAGAGTGCAAGAGAGAAGAAGAATTATGTCAGAGGAGAGAGTACAGGAGATCAGAAGGATGCATCAGTTCTTACTGTGAAGGAGTCTCCAGACACCAGGGCTGCCGGTTCCCCTCTCCAGTGTCTCTTGCTCCAGAATCCCCACAGCATGATGCCCTCAACAGCTGGGTGGCCATAAAACGCCCTCAGAGCGGTCTCGTACCAGTCTGCCCGGGTATGCTCGTCGCTTGCCATGACGTCGAACTCTGTCACCCAGATTGGCAGGCCAGCTTCAGATATGATGTCAAGATGTTTCTGGAAGAGTTGAGTAGCTACTGGGGTTCTACTATCAGTCTGTGATCAGTACTGAAGAAATGACGATGGGAAGATTGAATTATTCTTGTCGGTCGAGTAAAGAAAAGTTTCAATTGACCAAAAGGTTGTCTAAAAATAAATGTTATTGACTATCATGACATGGATGTTTACCACTTTCGTGAAAAAGACAAAGGGCCGCAACTCTGTAAAAGTTCACAAGATAGATTAGCAGCGTGGATAGATAATGATAATTTAGGGTAGGGTAGGGATGTGTGTTAAAGGGGGGGGGGGGGGCTAAAGAGTTACCAACAGTCGTAAAAGCTCAAAACCCGTAGGACACCCGGAAAGGTCAGGCAGAAAACATGGAGACATACACAAAGATGGACATACACAAAGATGGACACACTTAATAGGTATACAATGAAAATACAGAGACATACAAAGACATGCACAGCCGAAGTGACAGGACACTGGCGAGAGCTGGTGGGCAGTCTAACGTACGGACTGGAGACAGACATTCACACATACACCTTTACCGAGTACCCACCTTTATAAGTGTAGGGTCTGGTGCGGTGTTGGCTGTGAAGTGACACTGTACACCGACACCGTGCAGTCCCACATTGGCATTCTTAAACCTAACAGCCTGGTCTCGGTAAGCCTGCAAACCACAGTACAATCCGACTGTATGTCATGCCGGCGTATATACATGTATGCTAAATAATAAGTTAACTGAAGTGTTGGGCAAACGAAAGTATACACTTGAAAAATTGACCAAATAATTACGATCACTATTTATCAAAACGTTACTAGGCTGAAATACTGTAAACTTAAGGACTGTAGTGTCTCAACTCTTCATAAGGAACAGAAACATGTCTTGAAGAAACATTAAGTTTATTCCCCCAGATTTCACACATACATGGTCGAGCCAGTGTTCACACACTTTAAACATGGCCCCCGAGTGACGTAATCAGGCATGCGTCTCTATAGTAAATTGATTGATTGAGTATGGTTTTACGCCGCTTTTATTAATATTCGTGCAATATCACGGCGGTGAACATCAAAAATGGGCTTCACACATTGTACCCATGTTGGAAATCGAAACCGGGCCTTAGGCGTGACGAGCGAACGTTTTAACCACTGGGCTACCCCACCGCCCCTCTATATATAGTAGGTTGTTGCTTTAAGTGTTCAAGAGGTCGCCTTCTGCCTCAGCAATTTTGGCTGACCTGTATATATAGTACTTACTCACTGTTGGTGATTTAACGTGCGCTTTCCGACATAATGAGTAGAGACAGCGATACTCTCAAACCCCTGAGTCTGCACGAGATAGTCTCGAACCAATAGCTCTTACACGATACCTTATAAGGACCAACACACAACTATGATACATAACCGTCGAATACCATTTCCAGTATCAAATATGGGTTTATACTTTCTTTTGCCCAGCAGTTTACATCAAAGTGTGTGACACCAAGAATGGGCTTCACACTTTGATCCCGTGTGGGGAGTCGAGCCCGGGTCTAAAGCGTGGCAAGTGTACGCTTCAATCACAAGGCTACCCAAAGCTTCACCCGAGCGAAGATCCCGTGTGATAAGAGAGGACAGTTCTGAGTTAATACCGTTGTTAAGGATCCCAGAGCCACCACGTCGTAGTCATTGAGGAAGAGTTTGACATTAGGACCTGCTTGATGGGCGATACGGAATATGTCCAGGTTGTAGTCTCGGTCGTGAAGAGTGTCCTGGAACCAGAAGCCGTGGAGGTTCTCATTGTCAACATCCCAGTGTTCAACTCTGAAATTGGAAAACGAAATAAGCTCAAGGTTTATAGATCTGAACCAACAAGTGTAAACTTGGACGCAAAGGGACGCAACTCTGTCCCTTCAAGTACATCATAGGAAAGTATATACCACAGGCCATACAATATCTATTTTATGGTCTCTGTACATACTTTCTGTATTTGTTTGTTAAAATTAACGAATTTCTTTGAACAACTGTCCAGCTTACAGATTCTTCGTCCTGCCCACGATGTCCTGAATGCGTTGCTGGACGGTGTTCTTGAGCGTGCTGCCAGTCAGGGGCCGGACCCACTGGGGCACATACTTGGGCTCAGACCATACAACGTTATGGGCGCGAATCTTCTTGCTGAAAGATTGATTGATGCGTTACATACTTTGTGTCTGATAATGAACTGGGATACTGGGCTATTGGACATAAAGTGAGTGAGTTTGGTTTTACGCTGCTTTTAGCAATATTCCAGCAATATCACGGCGGGGGACACGAGATATGGGCTTCACACATTGTACCCATGTCGGGAATCGAACCCGGATCTTCGGCGTTATGAGCCAACGCTTTAACCACTAGGCTACCCGACCGCCCCTATTGGACATAAAGACCAATAAAGACACTCTACACTGTCTGCTTGTAGACATACTTGGTATGGGAATGGTTCCACACTTTTAATACACATGTTTCATTACAAAACTCCTTTCTCTTCCTTTCGTATTTCATCTTTAAAATTAAAACCACGCTTTCCCATGTCTGGCTACGACATCCCAACGCCACTTCATACCTGCTGAATACTCGTGTTGCTGTGTGACAAGATTATAGTGGACTACAGCAGAAAAAAACCCAATGATGTTCTGTGTAGCTGTGGTTCATACCCGTTCTGAAGTAACTTGTATATCATGTCGAAAGCACGTTTGTAGTTGATTTGTCCCTGGAAATAAGTTTAGTCAATCGTCTATAGATCAGGTCAGTTATACCATACGTAATATCAAATATTCTAGTTCAACGTTATCGCTTTAGGAGGAGCAGGTGATTGAGGGGAAATATAATATAATAATATGTATACCTGTAGTAGCATGAAGATACATACTTGTATACATGTACTACTACTGCTACAACTACTACTACTACTACTACTCCCATCACCACTACTACTATTAATACTATACTACTAATATTCGAACTACTTCTGCCATTATTATTATAATTATGATTATGATGATGATTATTATTATTATTATTATTTTTAATTTTTCCCAATCCTGATGATATTACACTTTGCTGATACTACTACTACTACTACTACTACTACTACCACCACCACTGGTGTATTCTGCCCCCTACCTTGGCAGGTTCCATAATATCCCACTTGAGTGACGCTTCACTCACTGCCCAGTTGAAGTGTTTGTTGATAAAGTCCTGGTAACGGCTGTCCCCGTGAACGTAATCGTCAGCTGAGACCGCGGTACCGAACGGGAACGACTTCTTTGTCTGAATAATCTGGGAACATACAACTATCATTACCATTCTACTGACCAATATACTTCCGGTCTGGTCGCCATGGTTTTCATTGTACTGCCTGCTGACGTATCTCTGATCCACCAAGTCCTTCTCAATATTAAGTGTAGGTACGACTCTTCTGTTACGTTGCGATGTGAATATAAGTTATGTATAGAATTCCTGACGTCAAGAGACACATTTTTCTGTTTGTCGGGTCACCTTATTTAATTGGAGAATAAACACTTGATAGCTCTTTTTGTGGTTTTAAGAATTAATTTTTGTGTATAACTTATATCCGTTGCGGTTTCTTACGTCAGTTTGGCTACGTCAATATTACGTTAAACAGGTTAATCGCCCTAAAACCAAATCATTAAAATGGCATTTTGAAGTGAACTTCTCGAATATATTGTTTTAACATTGTTTGGAGCGTAATATTTGTGTTAAAAAAAAATACTTGAAAATTGAAAAAGAGATGGGAATGTTCCTTAGTTTTATCTCTTATAATGCCCCTGCGCATGGTATAGCGTTGCGAGCACAAGGACAGATGTCCGTCAACTTACATCTATTTCAACTTGGTTGGAACTGATTCCATTTTCCAAGGTAAATCTAAAACATAAATAAAAAATAAATGTATATATTTATCGTTGGTATTTTATCATCATTGATAAATGTGCAAATAATAAGCCTAAAATGACTTACAAACTGTGTTAGCACCAACAAAGCTATTCAAAGCAAAGCGGAAGCACTCTTAAAATCACGTACTCAAACTTGATATCACTTTTTCGGAGCCTTTCTATCACACTGTCTGACTCCGCCCTCCAGTACTGATTGGCTACAATAGGCGTGATTGACATGTCATCAACGATGAAACTGACACCTGCCGACGCTCCTTGGAAGTAGATCCGAGTGTTCTTTATGGCTGAAGCAGACAACAAAGTTTACGGGATAACTGATCTGATTGGCCGAAATACAGTGTGTTTTCTTGAAAGGGAGGCCCAGGAATCTTTAAGAAGCTAGACCCCAGGGTTCATAAATGTATATGTACGCCATACTGTACCTTTAGAAGGCGCACTGAAGTCTCCGATTATTTGTACCCAGCCATCACTGGCCCTGACCAGAGGTTGAGATGCAACAGGGATGTAGCTGATGGTGCCATCTAAAACATAAATTAGTATCTGTACAGAAGTTCCCACAGCCTATAAATATCAAGCCTGCAAATTGATTTATAAGCTAAATACAGTCACGTTTTAGCTGTCAACAAACGGTTCATTGACAGACGGAAAACAACCCCAATGTCAAACCGTTGTTCCCACGTGTCTAACAGTAATATATAAATTATACATGTGGGAAGGTGAATCTTGCATCTTGGTCGAACTGAAGGACTACTCGGAATCGCCTTATAAACCTAGGTCGTGCTTCTAGTAAGGTGCTCCTCTGAAACCTAGGTCGTACTTCTAGTTAGAAACTCCTCTGAAACCTAGGTCGTGCTTCTAGTAAGGAGCTCCTCTGAAACCTAGGTCGTACTTCTAGTTAGAAACTCCTCTGAAACCTAGGTCATGCTTCTAGTAAGGCGCTCCTCTGAAACCTAGGTCGTACTTCTAGTTAGAAACTCCTCTGAAACCTAGGTCATGCTTCTAGTAAGGAGCTCCTCTGAAACCTAGCTCGTGTTTCTTGTTAGAAGCTCCTCTGAAACCAAGGTCGTACTTCTAGTAAGGAGCTCCTCTGAAACCTAGGTCTTACTTATAGTAAGGAGCTCCTCTGAAACCTAGCTCGTGTTTCTCGTTAGAAGCTCCTCTGAAACCAAGGTCGTACTTCTTGTAAGGAGCTCCTCTGAAACCTAGGTCATACTTCTAGTAAGGAGCTCCTCTGAAACCTAGCTCGTGTGTCTCGTTAGAAGCTCCTCTGAAACCTAGATCGTGCTTCTAGTAAGGAGCTCCCCGGAAACCTAGGTCGTGCTTCTAGTAAGGAGCTCCTCTGAAACCTAGGTCGTGCTTCTAGTAAGGAGCTCCTCTGAAACCTAGGTCATGCTTCTAGTAGGGAGCTCCTCGGAAACCTAGGTCGTGCTTCTAGTAAGGAGCTCCCCGGAAACCTAGGTCGTGCTTCAAGTAAGGGGCTCCTCTGGAACCTAGGTCGTGCTTCTAGTAAGGAGCTCCCCGGAAACCTAGGTCGTACACCTTGTCAGGAACTCATCGGAAACCTAGGTCATACTTTTAGTAAGGAGCTCCTCTGAAACCTAGGTCATACTTTTAGTAAGGAGCTCCTCGGAAACCTAGGTCGTGCTTCTAGTAAGGAGCTCCCCGGAAACCTAGGTCGTACACCTTGTCAGGAACTCATCGGAAACCTAGGTCGTGCTTCTAGTAAGGGGCTCCTCTGAAACCTAGGTCATACTTTTAGTAAGGAGCTCCTCGGAAACCTAGGTCGTGCTTCTAGTAAGGGGCTCCTCTGGAACCTAGGTCGTGCTTCTAGTAAGGAGCTCCCAGGAAACCTAGGTCGTACACCTTGTCAGGAGCTCATCGGAAACCTAGGTCGTGCTTCTAGTTAGGGGCTCCTCTGAAACCTAGGTCATACTTCTAGTAAGGAGCTCCCCGAAAAACCTAGGTCATGCTTCTAGTAAGGGGCTCCTCTGAAACCGAGGTCGTACTTCTAGTTAGAAGCTCCTCTGAAACCTTGGTCGTGCTTCTAGTAAGGAGCTCCCCGGAAACCTAGGTCGTGCTTCTAGTAAGGAGCTTCTCTGGAACCTAGGTCGTGCTTCTAGTAAGTGGCTCCCCGGAAACCTAGGTCGTACACCTTGTGAGGAGCTCATCGGAAACCTAGGTCGTGCTTCTAGTAGGGAGCTCCTCGGAAACCTAGATCGTGTTTCTAGTAAGGAGCTCCTCGGAAACCTAGGTCGTGCTTCTAGTAAGGAGTTCCTCTGAAACCTAGGTCGTGCTTCTAGTAAGGGGCTCCTCTGGAACCTAGGTCGTGCTTCTAGTACGGGGCTCCTCTGCAACTTAGGTCGTGCATCTACTGAGGATCTCACAGGTCGTGCTTTGTCATCCACCAAATTTAAAGGAAATCTAGCAGCCGGCTCAGCACCAAGTCGGGGTTATATTGAAATAACCTGGGAAACTTAGGAAGTTCATATATAAGTGTTCATAGAGACACCTAAGGGAGGTCAAGACCGTGCTTCGACTGACCTTGGACCACTTCTATATATAGTGATATAGTGTTCACAGAGTTGAATCTAGTTAATCATTCTGCTACCTGAAAACAGACGACATTCACTCTTTTCGGTGATTTGGGACAACGTTCATTGTCCATACACCTAATTACCACACATACGATACAGGCTATAAGAGTACACCCGTCTACGATGCCACACACCCGTGAAGTTTACAGCCAGCTCCAGGTCCACCTTCTGCCCGATCTTGCCCTGCTCGTCGTTGAGGAGTTTTACGTACCCCTCCACCCAGTACCGACCAGCAGGGTGGACGCCGGTCAGTATCTGCGAGGGACCCATGTAGTACATCGTCCTGAAAGGGTCAAGCTACGATAAGGACAAAGTATGCTCCACTACATCTACTCATTTAAAAAAAGTAGAAACCCTGAAAAAGTGTTGGGAAAGGTATCACATGCAACCATATAAACGAGGCTTATCATAAAACAAGTTCATTAAAATCAGATCTTCGTTCTCGATACGGCTAAACAAAGATCTGAGGACATCCCATTAGGGGTCACGTCAGAACGACCTTTCATCCCACTAATCAGAGCGTCGTTTACCAGATCATGAAAGTGACAGTCGGAATGTGATTTCTAATCATGCAACCTTGACAAGTTTAACACGGTGTATTCCGAACGATAGTTACGGGCTTAACGACTGAATCCATACAATCTAGACCATCTATTTGCCATTCTAGAATGTTCTTTTGTTCAGGTTTCAAATTTTAAATCGAGAATTTGTCAAAAAATGTTTCGAAACGTAGTCGCCAATTTGAAATTAGTGCCGTAAAGCACAAGAAATCTGCCTTCTGATTGGCTAATGTGGACTTCTTGTCAGTCAATCAATTGGTCGGTCAAAGTTCGCGAAAGGTTGGTCTGACGTGACCCGTTATGGGATGTCCTCATATCTTTGTTTCGCGGTAGCGAGAACTAAGATCTGATTTTAATGACATTGTTCATAACATTACCTGTTCTTATGCATATTCTATTCTAATTTTCATTAATAACACCATCAAGAAATGAAACATTCAAATGACCTATAAAAGACTGAGATAAAAGATGTTTCAGACAGCGTGTTTCTGAAATGTTGAACATTGCCAAGCCCTTACCCAAGTTCAGGAAATGTGTACACGTATACTACACAACACCATCTGGGTCATAATTGCTTGCTCATCATTAAGTTTTCTTGAAGTTGCAACAATCAACTCTTTTCCCTTTACACTCATGTTAGCCATACTTCAGAACTTGATGAAAGCTTGCAAGTGATAGAAATCAAAAGGCTAGGTTCACTATATTACGAACTTGTAGGTATCCTAACGTCGGATAGTTCGAAGACTCTTTATGCCATGCCTAGTCCGAGAAACAGTCAAAGCAAAACTATCATAGCAAAGTGTTATATAGCTTCAGCAAGATGAAAGCAAAATTGGACAAGGTAGTCACGTGGGGAATCGAATAAACTTTGTTTGAAATACAAATTGCAGAATGTGTTATGCTAAACAAACAAGAACATAACCACATAAGTTGACAATTATCGCGATACTAAAGGGTTTCTAGTTCGAACAAATTTAATCAAATAATTCAAAAGTCACTTTTATGCCTGCTAAATCAAACTTGATCAATTTAGTTCCAAAGAATATCCTATTTACACATAGTGAGTGAGTGAGTTTGGTTTTACGCCGCATTTAGCAATATTCCAGCAATATCAAGGCGGGGGACACCAGAAATAGGCTTCACACATTGTATCCATGTGGGGAATCGAACCCAGGTCTTCGGCGTGACGAACTGACGCTTTTACCTTGGCCTTTAAAGAGGACAGAGACCACCAGATATAATGTGTCTTTCTTGTACACTAACCTTCCTGTAGCTTTAATGCCATGATGTCCACTATGATGGTCAGTGGTCAGTTCACAATGGAAGCCCCAGCAATCCCAGTTGGTCAAGGACTCCATGTCACCATTTAAGACAAGATTTTGTCCACGAACAAGCGAAGAAAATAACAGGGTAATCAAAACAACCATTTTCGCCATTGTTGTGTTTTTCCGTGGACAATTGCGGTTATCTTAAGTCTTATCAGTAGCAGTTGTCACGAAAGAACCTGTGATCTAAGGTGCGTTTAAGTTGTGTTCTTAGAAGTGCCTGAATCTGTCGTGATTCAATTTGCAGGTTGATGTTAATGTACGGTTGGATGTTTGGGTGTTTGTTGGGAGTATGATACCCATACACGTGTTTTTTTATGTGAACAGCACACAATGATTGTTTAGCTTACAGACACGCACACACACACACATACACACACACACACACACACACACACACACACACACACACACACTCTCTCTCTCTCTCTCTCTCTCTCACACACACACACACACACTCTCACACACACACACACACCCTCTCTCTCTCTCTCTCTCTTTCTCTCTCTCACACACACAGAGATAATATATATATATATATGGTATATAGGCTTTCCGCCCACATTAAGCTGACACGCCGTGATATAAGCCGTGAGTATTGTTCAAAGTGGCGTTAAACCCAACTCACTCACACATAACGTCATGTTGGCCTCCAATCATAGTTGTATTACTTGCATGAGCCGGGTCTGGATTTCTTTCCAACGCTAACTTTACTGGGTGCAACTTGTATTTCAAGCGAATGACATGGCGGTAGCGGCCAGTTTCTGCCGTTTGTAAAACCAAGGGATGTCACTCCAAATGGAATGTTTGGGACGGATGACGTCACGACGTCACAACTCTCCGCGTTGATATAGTTCGCTTTCAATAATTATAGTTTGATGTTTAATGGATTGTTTTGTTATGATTTATGAATCTGTCAATGTAAGGATTGAAGCTGTATTTTTTTTACGTTCATCAGCTGATGAAGACAGTGCCTCACGTGAGCAAATCTACCATGAAGTCACTCTCCTACCCAGAGTTCCATGCGGCCAGCAGCCAGCCAGCATAGTACTCCGCGTTGATATAGTTCGCTTTCAATAATTATAGTTTGATGTAATGCTGAGTCACCACTGCGCCGGAGTGTGCCATGAAGCGCTTCGCACATCATGGAATTTGCTCACGTGGGGCACTAACTTCATCAGCTAATGAACGTCCTTAAATAATTAAATTTCGATGTATTCATTGAAATTCCTGTATTCTGAATAGCTGAATTGGTCACATGTTATTGCATTCATTTCCCAATGAATGTATAAAATTAAGCCACGCCCACCGAAGGCACTACTTTTATTACTGCGGAATGTCCGGGAATCCCAATATTTAGAGTTGAGAGAATTCCCTTTCTGCTTATGTGTATCTTCATGCACAGTACATTTAGTGACTTTCATACATATTCATTGTCCAAACTACCCTTTGCAACCGAGGGTCGAGAATGAATGAAACAGCAAACGCGCAGGCTCGCTCGACTGTTTTTTTCCCCGTTCGCATCGGTTCAACTTTCATGTCTTCGGGTTTCATTTCTGACTAGCATTTTTCCTACTGTGTTTTACCGTAATCAGGGAAGTAATGTTTGAATCTGGTGGAAACTGGCCATGTTATTTGAAACAGCCTCCTTCTCCCGGACTATTCCCTCCATTCATAAAATTGGTATTACACGGTATTCTATTCAACTCCACTCGTTTCGTCTCAGTTTAGTAGGATTCGTGAACCATGTATAACTCTTCGAATTGGTGTGTCCTTTTGTCCTCAAATCAAAGCGTACACCCAAATTTTCTTTTTTAACCACATTTTTTTTACATTTCAAAGTACATGTTAACAAATATAGAGAGTGGTCAAATACATTTACAATCAAGGTAGAACACATGCTAAAACTAATGATGGAAGGCATGTATACCATGTTTGAAGTAGACAGAAATAAGACTTATACATGGATAAATATTTTATGAATGCTTTACTTATCATGATCGTGGACAGAGGGTCGTTGTAAGTTGCTTCCATTTCTTGTCATAATAAATAACAAAGGAGTCCCTAGATTTTGTCTGTAATATACTTTTCAATTTGACAAACATCACTCATAATTTTAAAAGATACATCAAAGGACAATTACGTGACGTGTTCACATTCATAAACTTGATGGTATAATGAGTTTACGTATATTTTGCCGTCCGCCATAGACGACCTTGGCCTTGACATACTCCGATCTGATTGGCTATAAATCAAATATAGCCAATCAGATCGCTGACTTTTTTTTATAGAGCTATTTACAGTGGACGCTGTTGAATTCGTCCTCGAGTTATCCTCGTCACACCCCTTTCCTTTTATATAGTATGCTGATACTGGGTGTGACCATATATCTTGCAGCTGCTATTTTGTGCGTTACAAACCCCTGGGAGTATTTTAACATATTGCATTTTTTTAACATTGAGAAACATTTTCTTAGAATAAAAGTACTGAGGCCACTCCCATCGTTCTAGTATTTACCTTATGAAAAAGTCTTTATCTCTCCGATAAGGTGTGCAAGACTAGGGTGATTGCTCTGGTCTATATTTTGCCCCTTGTTTATGGGCAAAGCTTACGTCATAATTGGATCATGGGGACTCTTGACCACTGGGTGTGAAATGGCTTCCACTGTAAAGTGACCAGTCACCACCTCAGTGGACAACATGGCATTAAATCAACGGGAAGATAGATTTTATCTTTCAATTAACACTTACGTAGAGGAAAATATAGGAAAGGAGTGAGTGAGTATGGTTTTACGCCGCTTTTAGCAATACTCCAGCCATATCACGGCGGGGGACACCAAAGAAGTTCGGGAATCGAACCCGGGTCCTCGGCGTGACGAGCGAACGCTTGAACCACTAGGCTACCCGACCGACCCTAAAGGAAAGGAAGTATGCAAAAAATTGATCATAAAATGTGTGAATGATTCATTGATCCATTCAAATCATTTTCATTACTCTGATTATTGAATCTCACTGAACCGTGTGGAAATACACAAAGGACTCGTTTTTCACCTTCCCCATATCATGTATGATGGTGAAATATAATGTAGTAAGTTCTTCTTTCATCGTAACTATAACTAATAACTTGAACCTATATTTCAAGTGTGCGTGCGTGCGTGCATTTAAATAACCGGTCCGTCCGTCCGTCCGTCCTGCCTGCCCGCCGCCTGCCAGCGCGCCTGCATGCGCGCGTGCGTGCGTGCCTGCCTGCCTGCCTGCCTGCCCGGTTATTTAAATCTATCCTTTTCAAAACCAAGGACTTCACATCATCATAGTCGGTATACATGTGCCTCTGATAAGGGACCGCCTCCGTGGTAGAGCGTCCGCCCGGAGAGTGGAGGGTCCGGGGTTCGATCCCCGGCCGCGTCATACCAAAAGACGTTTAAAGATTGTACTTGTTGTTACCCTGGCGCTCGGCATTAAGGGGCTAAAACAAGGACTGGTCAGTATACTGTGTCTGAGTGGGGTATTCATGTTGAACTGCGGCATGGTATCTCAGTGTGCTAGCACTATAAATCGGCATCAGTCCGGACTAGTACAAGCAGCCACACACAAACACACGTCAATGCACGTCGCTACATAAGTGCAATAATCTTGGACGCGACGTTAAACTCAATTTCACCTCACCTCACCTCACCTCTGATAAGAGTTGACTGCAATAATCAGACCGGCGGTATTTAATCTGAGACTATCCTGGAAGGTTTAGCAATCGGAACCTGGCAGTCCCTGGCAACATGTGGTTAGCGACAGTCCTGTTCTGTGTGGTTCCTGGAGTCCTCGGACAAAGTCTGGTACAGAATGGCGACATGGAGTCCTTGACCCACTGGGATTGCGGAGGCTTCCATTGTGAACTGACCACTGACCATCATAGTGGACATCATGGCATCAAAGTATCTGGACGGTAGTGTGCTACTTTTACACAAGCCTTAATACGAGTAATAGTGAGTGGGTATGGTTTTACGCCGCTTTTAGCAATATTCCAGCAAAATAACGGCGGAGGACACCAGAAATGGGCTTAACACAATGTTACCTTGTCGGGAATCGAACCCGGGTCTTCGGCGAACGAGAAACGCTTTAAGCACTAGGCTACCCGACCGCTCCTACGAGTTAAAAAAAGGGAAACTGGAGTAGATACTAGTCAACTAGTCCACGGTATTTCTAACATAAGTAAACGGGGACACGTATTTATTCTGAGTGTCACTGTTCTCAAGGCTTTCTCATAAGTGATAACATACCCAGGCTCAATGGTTTTACCAAGCGGTAAACGTACGAGACCTGCATCACTTCGGGTTTTCCTCCCACATCAAACTGCACGCCGTGATATAACTGGAATATTGTTTAAAGTGGCGTTAAGCCCAACTCATTCATTCAGTGATTGTTATCCCGAGAAACGTTTGTGTCTTCTTACATTTAGTTAGTGGGAAGCGCATTGGTGGATACAGAGTGTTGTTTTTTATTTCACAGATTGTCTGAAATATTGCTGATTGATCTCAGCATAATTGATTCTTATTTACGTTTTAAATCACATATGGATTAATCAGATCAATGACAAACATCATGATGGAGTTCATGCCTGATTTGACCTCAGGAATAATGTATTCTTATATTTAAATATTTAGCCGGGTTTTCTAAAGTCTTTTAAGACCTTCACTGTTAAATTGAAATTGTAACATTGAAATCGTCTTTTCGAAGATGGTTGTCCTGGGCTATATGATCTGGGGACATTTTGGTTTGGGAAACTTTCCAAGGAGGGTACAGATTTCGAGGAGCCAGTTGCCCTGATACCACGGACGAGGGCGGTTCCTACGTTTTAGTTTCTCTTTCCAGGAGACCGCCTCCGTGGTCTAGTGGTAGAGCGTCCGCCCGGAGAGCGGAAGGTCCGGGGTTCGATCCCCGGCCGCGTCATAAAAGATGTTAAAAGATGGTACTTGTTGTTACCCTGTCTGGCGCTCGACATTAAGGGGCTAATACAAGGACTGGTCGGCTCGGAGTCAGTATACTGTGTCTGAATGGGGTTTTCATGTTGAACTGCGGCATGGTATCTCAGTGTGCTAGCACTATAAATCGGCATCAGTCCGGACTAGTACAAGCAGCCACACACACACACACACACACACACACACACACACACACACACACACACACGTGCATGCATGCATGTCGATATATAAGTGCAATAATCTTGGACGCGACGTTAAACCCAATTTCACCTCACCTCACCTCTTTCCAGGAGTCAGACCTGGCAAGGTCCCTCCCAGACCCTGCATGGAATCAAAGCTAATGGTCTGTATAAAGTCGAGGGGTATATCAAGTTGTTGAACGACCAGTCGGGTCACATTGGACAGAATGTCGAGCTGGAAATTGCAGTGAGCTTAAACAGTAAGTCTCACCTTTCCTTCTTTCTTCTTGGTCACCAGTATCCCATGCTGGTCGTTAGATCCGGCTGATGAGGATCTGGTTGCTATGATGTGTAAATTGTGACTGATTGTTTGTCATCCTAACTCGATAATTACATATCGTGATAACAATAAAGACACTGTGGTAACATTGACTGATTGTTAGTTTTGTCATTAACTGGTACACATTGGAAACATCATTTCTTGACGTACATACGCACACCCTTCCAAAAAAAGAAACGCACAGGTAGATTTTTAGTAAATTTATTGTAGCTAATAACGTCGATATATTTAATTCAATATCATACATACAAATATGACATTTTGGAGATCTATAGTCACATGTTGGTGTTGTATAAAGTTATTGAAAACTGTTCATTGTCATGTCACATAAGGCCACAAGGTTGCCCCGGGCAGAAATCACGGCTCTGCATCTCCTCGGCACTGACTGAATAAGTGTACGAATTCTGTCCTGCAGAATTCCGCGCCATTCTGCTTGTAATGCGTTGGCCTGTTGTAGGAGTGATTGCAGCGTGTTCTGACGTTGGCGTACACGTCGATCGAGTTCATCCCAGAGGTGTTAGATTTTGTTGAGATCTGGAGATCTCGACGGCCAGGACAAGACGTTGATGTTGGCATTATGAGGGTAGTCGTTTTGACGCACCGTTTGTCAAATATAAGACCACCAACATTTTCCAATAACAGATATCAAATTTATGTACCGGATTTTTTTGTGTTGTCAGGTTTAATTTACTACATACTACCTGTGCTTTTCTTTTTTTTGAAGAGTGTATTTATATGTTTCGATGGTTCGCGTTTCTTTTGTCAGTGAGTGTATATTCATCAAAACACACCTGCAGATGCTGTCAATGTCGGTCCATACTTGAATGCAAAACGTTACATGTGTTATTGCAGATGGCAAGACTTCCTACCTTAGTGCTGCAACCCACCCCTTGGCCAGATCTAGTGACGGATGGATCCATATCACTGGAGATTTTAATGCCCCTTCGCAAGGTTGGATGGTGTTTACCCAAACAACTCATACTTTTTAACTTAGACTTACAATAGCTGTAGCGCTGACACTATCGTAACGTCCATATGCTAATATCGACAGTTATAGCTGAGCTCCTTTACTTTAGGCTTATACTTACAGTAGATGTCGTACTGAGACTAGCCTAACTCCAATACTCTAACATAGTCTGAGGCGTAGGGGAGCAAGGGTGGCCCAGTCGTCGCGATTCGCTGTGCAGAGTTGCGTCCCTTGGGCACGCCAGAAACCTATGATTGTGGGTTCAGATCCCGGTTCGCCCCGATTATGTTCCTAGGTTTGTCAGCGCCATACCCGTGCTCGTGAGTTTCACCGAAGTGGTAAACGCATGAGATCTGCATCACTTCGGGCTTTCCTCCCACATTAAGCTGACACGCGGTGATATAACTGGAATACTGTTAAAAGCGGCGTTAAACCCCACTCACTCACTGAGGCATAGCGCTGATGCTATAGTTACTCCTATACTTTAACATAGACTTACACTACTTGCTGCGCTAATGTAGCTTTGCACATGTAGCTTTGTAATCATTTCGAGTACCATGACCTTATTAAACACAAAAAAATTGAATACAACAGCATAGTGCAATGGAAAAGCTAGATAAAACCATACTCACTTGCTTTACGTCTTGAGAAATACAAATGACAATTTCCCTGGCATGTTCTGGTATCGAAAGGTTTACAGGCTTAATGGTGGTTGTATGTTGTAGGCATCAAGGACGTCAGAATCTACTACCAGGGCCCGGCCACCAGCACCAACTTCGTGACGGATTCTGTCAGTGTGACGCCTGTAGGAAGTAATCCTAACTGGCGAGCAGAGTCAGACGCAGTCATCAACAGAGTCAGAAAGAGTGACATCAACTTCGCGTAAGGCTAAACATACAGTGCATGTCCCTCCAAAGTACATATCCCCTTCAAACCCGTTATGTAGCCAGTAGGATGGGGCAGTGGTGTCATTAACATCAAATAATTTCATTGTGTGTTATGAGTCTATAGTTTTAATAGATAATTACATCACCGGCACAGTCATGAAGGTGGGGTTACGAGTTCAGTATCAGTATAGTATTCAGTGTCATCATACACAATAAAGTCAAATTGAAGAGGGGTACGGGTGGCCCAGTCGTCTGAGGCGCCGCGATTAGCTGTGCAGAGTTACGTCCCTTGCGCACGCCAGAAACCTATGATTGAAGGTTCGAATCCCTGTTCGCAAAGATTATGTTTTTAGGTTTGTCAGCACAATACCCGTGCTCGTGGGTTTCACCGAAGTGGTAAACGTCTGAGACCTGCATCACTTCGGGCTTTCCTCCCACATTAAGCTGACACGCCGTGATATAACTGGAATAATGTTAAAAGCTGCGTTAAACACAACTCACTCACTCACATTGAAGAGAGGGAATCACACAGATCAGCCAATAATGTGTATGTCCTCCAACTGACGTAGAAATATGCTATAACTGGACACGGAACGGAGAACGGCAGGCTGCGGTAATATGGCGTCATTCCTCAATCAGGCCTTGTCTGGTAAATGGGGTCGTTCTCTGACCCAGCGATCAAGAAACTCCCTCAAGCTGTTTCAGGGACATGTCGGAAGATCTTGACGGCCAGGGCAGGACGTTGACGTTGTTGGCATGTAAAGAGTTGGTTGTAAACCTTATTGTGTGCGGTCTGGGTCTGTCTTGTTTGGGGTCTGCTGCTCACATGGCAGGACAACGGGACGTAGTACCGGATCTGGTTTTGGGGCAGTCAGATTAGCCTCGAAAACGACCAGGGCCCACCTTAGCACTACGACTATTGTAAGCCTATGTTAAAGTATGGGGCTTACGATCATCTTAGCGCTAAGATAGCTTTGTGCAAGTGGGCCCAGATCTGGTTTGACGTTACGGCGGATTCTCCCCACGCTACCTCCACCATACTTCTCGACCTCCTGAACATAAAATCGTGCCTTCCGTTCCCTTCGTCGGCAGTGTACTCTGATTCTCCCATCAGTCCGGTTAGGGTGAGACTCTTTGTCAATTCTTTTACCACTGACGTACAGCTCGAGCCTTTCTCAATCTCTAACGTGTTGGCACCTTATGCTACTCCACGGAACTTCATGTACGCCTGAATACCACGCAGTCTCAATATTCTAGACATTGTCGTTCTGCTGACTGGGTGGTGGCAGCTGGTTACAGCACCGTCAAAATATACGTTCCTGAGGTGCAAAACGCGAAGGTTGTGGTCCTCGTCGGGGTTGGTTAGGGTCACTGGTACTGCCAGTGTGAGGGAAAGGAGTCTCGTTCCGATGACCCCCTCTCTCTGTTAAGGGGATAATCAGCATGATTGTTGTGATTTGTTATTAAATTCCGAAGCTAAATATCGATGTTAGGGTGTTTTTCTACCATTATACAATGGTTGAAACATATCAAGCCTTAGTTTTGCATTATGCAGCCTTTTATTGAAAGTTTGGACATTCTAAAATTTGGTATCGTTCAGAGACCTGGCACGCTGTGATAGTACTGGCTTTAAAACCAAACTCCACTCATTCACTCACTAACTGGTATAAGCACTATGGCGTACTGCTATTGGTTTTATACGACACACAACGGTATAATGGTATGATTACATATGAAGCCGCTTTGTTGAATTAATCTTGTCAATGCTTCTTGCAGTGTCTCCCTCGCCAGTGGCATTAACCTTGGCCAGGTTGAAATTGACGTAAGTATTATTCTTTCAGCGACGTTCTCATTTAATCTTTGCCTTAGCACGACTCTTCAACTCCCTATCTTATTCTCATTATATTCATTATTTTAATGCCTTCTTTAAATGACATACTCCACAACGCCTTCTTCAAGTGACGTACCCTCCAACGACATCCTCTTCAAGTTCCGTACTTCTTCACTTCCTCTTTAATACCCGTGCTTCTCGACTCCTTCTTTAAGTGGCGTTCTCATCATCAGTTACTAGGAGGCAAGGGTGGGTCAATGCAGAGTTGCGTCCCTTTGGCACGCCAGAAACCAATGATTGTGGGTTTGAATCCCGGTTCGACCCGATTATGTTTCTACGTTTGTCAGCGCCATCGTGGGTTTTACCGAAGTGGTAAACCTCTGAGACCTGCATCACTTCGGGCTTTCCTCCCACATTAAGCTGACACGCCGTGATATAACTGGAATACTGTTAAAAGCTGCGTTAAACCCAATTCACTCACTCACTCGTCAGTTACTTCGCAACTCCTTATCTCATAATGACGTACTCCTCAACTCTTTCTTTTGTGACGTGCTCCTCAAATCCTTCTTTCAGTGACAAACTCAACTCATTCTAGTAATTTGATCAATGTTTATTTTTCATCTTCCTCCCCCATACCGAAATACACCTTTGATTAATATGTCCCAACAGGTTATTCAGACAAAGAAATCCTTCGCGTTCGGAACAGCCGTAGCTTGTGATGAATACTTGCATGGTAATACAAAATACCAGAACTTCATCAACCAACATTTCAACTGGGCTGTTACTGAAAATGCGCTGAAGTGGAACATTATGGAACCACAGAAGGTGACCCATCCCGCAGCTCTCAATATAGTGATAATGATAATGATGCATTTTGAAGCAAATAATGATGCATGTTGCAGCACATTATTAAAAAACTGTTGATGTTGTTGCACATTATAGCATCGATTAATGTTTTAGCATATTATAGCATTAATTCTTGTTGTAGCAGATTATGACACTGATCAATGTCGTAGCAGATTATAACACTGATTAATGTCGTAGCAGATTATAACACTGCTTAATGTTGTAGAAGATGAAAACACAGATTCATGTTGTAGAAGATTATAACTCTGATTCGTATTGTAGCAGATAATTATAATGATGCATAGCAAGTGAAACCAATTCTTCGCTTTGGAATGTTTCTGAAGGCACACTTACATAAAACCTGACCCAGTTAAAACCCTAATCATATATCATTATGTAAATGCATGAGTGTGAAATTGCATGTATGTTATTCTCTAGTGACTATCAAACTAAGTTAAGTAACAGGCGACCGACCAACGATATCTTCGAGGTCGTGTCTGTGATCTTGAGAGATTCATCACCTGTTTCTGATTTAAAGATTAGGTTAGCATGGTTGGGTTGAAAACAGCTGCCTTGAATGTCTTGGATTCAGCGCAATTAACCTGCTTGTTCGAACCATATATAGTTGACAAGCCTTTTAATTTACTCGAAATAACAATACACAAGATGTAATAACATATAAATTCATATTTCATAGGGCCATATCAACTACCAACTACCGCTGGACGCAATAAACAAACTCAGGTCACATGGGTAAGTGAGGAGTATACAAAATAAACGATTTATTTCATTTCGTCCAAACATTTATTATTTTAAAACTATTTTAAAAGGGTTATTAAAACATAATTTTAAACACGTAGTGGTGTCAGAATACCGTAGACGTCTGAGGCATATTGAGATTTATTGCTTAAGCCATATTGAGATTTATTGTTTAAATATTTATATTCGCTGATGTATGTCCTGCTAGTCAACCGGGAACAGATCCTTTGATCGCATTGGCTGTGCAGTGCAGTGTCCCATAGGTCCAGGATCCGCTGATTTTGGGTTCAAATCCATGATACAACCCAGTTATGATCCTTGGTCCGTTACCAGGTTTCACCTGAACAGCTTAGATCTCAGACACTCACCCTCCAACATTAAACTGATGTCACTGTCACTGTCACTGAAACACTGCTTATAAGGGTGTGGAACTGTGGTCACTATATTCTATAGAATAAAGGTCCGGGCCCACAACATCATCTGGTCAGTGGACAATACGGTGCCACAGTGGGTGCGCCCGCTGTCCGGCAACACGCTGAAGGACACGGTCAAACATAGGATCCAGGATATTGTTGGAAGAACAAAGAACTTGTAAGTGAATAATTCGGTTGTTATAGTTAAGCATAGTTTTAAAAATATATATATATATACGATGTATCTCGTCAATTAAACTTTCAGGGCGATCAGTAATGCTTAGTTTTCTTTAAGGTAAAATATCCCGTTTTGAAATATAAACAAGTATGTAGTTAAGGTTGTCCAGATTATAAATGTTGTCAAGAAGATCCATGTTCAAGATCACAAGGGCATGAGGTTTGAGACAATTAGCGTCCCACCAATCTGTCTCGAGAACTTTAAACAATACTTTGTTTGTATGGTAGGACAGGTTATTATCATAATGTATAGGAATACTTCAGTTTATGATTTCCCTAATTATATAGATGCAATGTCTTAGTTTCACCCAATAAGTGCAATGACTTGCAGAGGCATTAATGGTCACCAGACACTTTCAGCATAATCCCATGTATCTGTGATTGACTGTGGGTTTCATGTTGACATGCAGCACTGCAATGTCCATCCATCACAACAAGAAATCATATATTATTAGAAAGTGGACTTTGTATGACCACGTTAACACGGCGTAGTAATGCACTCTTTGTTTACAAATATGAAGCAACATAAATAGTTCACGATCTACACCACTTGAAATATTCCAGTAATCAACTGTTGAATGAAAATATAAACAGTTTAAATGTGAAATATAATCATAAAATATGGTATGAAATAGCCCCTACTGAGATCGATTCAATCCATCACAAATTAAGTATTATAAGAATAGTATATACAACTAAAAGGAAGCAAAAGAACATCTGATTTTTCATATGTCATGGCTGGTGAGTTTTGCAACATGGCCTTCCAATTCGGGGTTTTCTTAACTTGTTTTGAGTAGTATATATCCCCCTAATAATAATAAGAAGAAGAAGAAGAAGAAGAAATACCTTACTGTGTATGTATTTTGTTGAAACCCGCATATGATGATAAAATATATGAAATGATACATATTTCTTTGAGGCCCGTGGTTGGTGAAACAATAAAAAAATAAAAATATTTGACAGAAAGCAATCTGGAGTCAAGACAGTAGGCACGAAACGCATTACCTTAATATAAACTATAAAGTATTTAAAATATTATGGCGACGCCATTATTTCCATTCCGTAAATTTTCAGAGTTGAACACTGGGACGTGAACAACGAGAACCTCCACGGCTTCTGGTTCCAGAACAAACTCAACGACCGTGACTACAACTTAGATATGTTCCGCATCGCCCACCAAGCTGGTCCCAATGTCAAACTGTTCCTCAATGACTACGCTGTCGTTGCATCAGGAGGCCTCACAGGGGTACTTTACATTTACCGACAATGGTTGAATACCGTAGAGCCCCAATGTCACTGCTGAATCTAGGCGGTTTGTCAATGGTCTATGGTAGACAGAGCAGAGCCTGACAAAATGGGAACCTATCAACGTGTCTGGGAACGATGAAACACATCAACCTGGGCCATATATTCCGCGAAGATATAGTTATACTTCGACACTCATCGTTCCTGTACTTTAACATTCAACTGTAGTCGTAGCGCTAAGATTCTTTTGTTGGACCGGGCCTTGGTAACTCATTGTTGCAGCTAGATCTTGTTCGACCTTCATGTTTTCTGTCATGTTACTATCACAGAGTAAGGTTATGCCACCGTTTCATAAACTCATGCTTATGCTATTGTCGGAATCGTACAATGGACTTTCAGTGGAGATTTCGTTTGAGTATGGAAATGTTTTTTGTCGCTTTTTATTAACATCCTCCAAGATCTTTTAGGTCTAAATAAGAACATTTCCCATGTACTTGTAGGCGTACCGTGAACAGGCTATAAGGTTCAAGAACGCACACGTTGGTCTGTATGGAGTGGGCGTGCAGTGTCATTTCCAGCCCAACCAGTACCCAGATCCTACGTTGATCAAGGTAATAAGCTTTGTATTTACGTCTTAAAGCCACAAGGACTATTGCGCCTGTCGCCTGGCTGACATATACCTTCTGAGCTTCGTGTCTTGCACAAAGTATGAAGTGGTCGTAGTAGAACCTTCCTCCCTGTGTTAGATATTTATGTACGGCGGTCCCTTAATTATTGGGTAAGTGAGTGAGTGTTTTAATGTGGCTGTAAACAGCATTTCAGTTGCATCGTAGCTCGATAGCTTATTGAGTGAGTGAGTTGGGTTTAACGCCGCTGTTAATAGTATTCCAGTTATATCACGGCGTGTCAGCTTAATGTGGGAGGAAATCCCGAAGTGATGCAGGTCTCAGACGTTTACCACTTCGGTGAAACCCACGAGCACGGGTATGGTGCTGACAGACCTAGAAACATAATCTTGCGGCTTCTGACGTGCCCAAGGGACGCAACACTGCACAGCAAATCGCGGCGCCTAAGACGACTGGGCTTATAGCTTATTGAGGAAGGATGAGCAAAGTGACGCAGGTGTTAGACATTTGCCACTTTAATGAACCAAGGAACACGGGAGGTGACAGTCCAAGGATCATAGTCTGGACGAAACTGGGATTCGAACCCATGACCATCCGATCCTGGCAACTCAAGGATATGGCACTGGATAACAAAGCAATGTCTACTCGGTGATCTGAGTCCCAGGGATATAGACGATCACACAGAACGCGAGTTTACTAGTCATTATCACACATAGTACATTTGAATGATGGTGGCAGTGATGTATACTTCTCATTTATGAGTATGAATATACAATGTATTTATATTAGTTTGTGTGATAAAGAGAAACGACAACTACTTCACCATACCGTGATGTTTCCACAATGATACGTGTTGGTACCACCAGCAACATCTAGATACCATTGCGCAAGCTGGCGTCCCTATCTGGGTGACAGAACTTGACGTGATCAACGATGACGCCAACAAGCGAGCTGATTGGTACGAGACCGCTCTGAGGGCGTTCTATGGCCACCCAGCTGTTGAGGGCATCATGTTGTGGGGATTCTGGAGCAAGAGACACTGGAGAGGGGAACCGGCAGCCCTGGTGTCTGGAGACTCCTTCACAGTAAGAACTGATGCATCCTTCTGATCTCATGTACTCTCTCCTCTGACATAATTCTTCTTCTCTCTTGCACTCTGTAGTCTCTCGTCATCATTCTGCTTTCTTTCAGTCTCTACTCTCTGATAATTTTTCAGTTCTCTTGCCTTGTGTACTCCCTTATCTTTAAATTATTCCACTCTTTTGCATTCTGTACCTAACATAAACAATCTGTTCATTTGCACGCTCTACTCCCTCAGTATCCCTCTGCCCGCTCGCACTATCTACTCTCTCATGATACGTCTCCCACTACATGTACACTTTATGTCATATTTCAAAGGTGGTTCAATGATTGTCAGAAACTGGTCACGGTAACAGAAAGATATTCAAGATCTTTAAGATGTTTGTTTGTTTGTTTGTTTGTTTGTTTGATTGTTTCTGGTACGAGGGTTGATTGTTCTAAACCTCACATTGAAGAAACTCCGTAACAGTGAAATCTTATGTTGTGTTTGTTTGTACTCAGCAATATTCAAGCCAAATGACGGTGGTCTATAAATAATCTAGTCTGGACCAGACAATCCAGTGATTGATATCATAAACATCGATCTACACAATTGTATGTATGTATGTATGTATGTATGTATGTGTGTGTGTGTGTGTGTGTGTGTGTGTGTGTGTGTGTGTGTGTGTGTGTGTGTTTCTCTCACGCTCTCTTTCTCTCTCTAACTCTCTCTCACTTTCTCTCTCTCTCTCTCTCTCTCTCTCTCTCTCTCTCTCTCTCTCTCTCTCAGCGTTTGTATCATGTATGAGTGACACTTGTCTTGATTTGTCTTGATCAGGTAAATGCTGCGGGGAACAGGGTCCTGAATTTGCTGGAGAAGCAATGGATGACCCACGTGTATCACAAGCTGACGGGGCATAACTTCAAGGTACGCGGCTTCCATGGCAACTACGAAGTCCGAGTCAAGATTAACGGCAAAGAAAATACTTCACTCCGTCAGCATTTCACGCTTGGAAGCGCATCACACTCCGTTCACATCCATGTAACTCACTGATATCTGTCGCAAAGGAAAGGGTTTACTTCTCCAATAAAAGCTTCTTAATCTAAAGCGTTATTAGTTGATGATTAGTAACCTTTTCACTCCAAAATAAATCAATTATTTTTTTAATCTGATTAGTGTATCCTGATCGTGGTTCGACAGAAGGAAAACAATAGTGTGTTGTTTGAAGAGTATTCCAGTTATATAATGGCATGTCTGTATGGTGTGAGAGTCAAGGTCTTAGTAACGCAGGTTTCAGACCTTTGCCACCTCGTTGAAAGTACGCGTACAGATATGGTACTGACACACCAAAGGTCATAATCAAACGATTCTGTTACGATTAAAGGGCGCAGCCCTGCACGGCGAAATTCGGCATCTTCAGCCAAGATATTTCAGGAATGGATAGTTAGCTAATGTAAGTAGGCAACAGGTAGTCAAATTCCGAAATGCCATCAATATGTCTACCATAAAGGTTTTGAAAGCTTTACTGAGGCCTTGGATGTTCTAACTTGCCGTATGACCCTCTTTAAAATCTCCGAAGAAAGAGAATGTTCGATTGTACCTCAGAAGTTGTGAAATGTAGACACCAAAGGCTGAAGCTGCTAGAGTGAGTGAGTTGGGTTTAACGCCGCTTTTAACAGTATTCCAGTTATATCACGGCGTGTCAGCTTAATGTGGGAGGAAAGCCCGAAGTGATGCAGGTCTCAGACGTTTACCACTTCGGTGAAACCCACGAGCACGGGTATGGTGCGGACAAACCTAGAAACATAATCTTGGCGAACCGGGATTCGAACCCACAATCATAGGTTTCTGGCGTGCCCAAGGGACGCAACTCTGCACAGCGAATCGCGGCGCCTTAGACGACTGGGCCACCCGTGCCCCCTGGAGCTGCTAGAATATCGCTCGACATGAAAGGATTTCTGACTATTGAAAAGTTAAAGTCAACTCTCTTGTCTTGTGGAAAGTGTTTTGTCACTCTGAATCTTTGTGCATAGATCTAAATAATGATCAAACGAGGCGGCCTCTCTAGTCTCCTTTATTTCTAGTTCAGGTGGGTAAATCAGTGAAAGGGAATGGTCTATTTTATGGTTACTTAACGATATCGGATGATATATGTGAGCGTATCCTGCCCCAGCAGTGGGCACAACACATTGTTTACATATCGTCGTCTGGAGATGCTGTTGTAGAGTAATATGCTGCTGACTATGGATAATATTAGCTTTTAATTGGTCATTCAAATCACGATTATATTGTTTTTATTCATTAACTGACTTGGCGTCAAAAGACATGTCTGCCTTTATTGCATCACACCACTCTATTGAAAGCACACTGAAGAAATACGAAGAAACAATCTCGGATATCATAAATATCGTCCAATCAAAACTGCACTTGTTCAGCAATCTTTTAGAATGACCTACATTGATACCATCCTGACAAATTCACACATTTATATATAATTATAAATTCTACACATGCACGTGTGGCTCAAATACTAAAATAAACTAAGCGGCAAAGAAAGTATAGGTTAGCAATTTGTAATTTTCCTAAAAACAGCGATAACTAGTGGAAAGTGGGTTTGTGGAATATGACTGCCCAGGAACAGGTACCAAAAAACACCTTACCCGAACGCGCCACCTTTGACGGCGCTCGTGCGGTGACAAAAACATGATGAAACAGGTTTCCCGCCTATGGCATAAACTGCACGTGCACGTTAGCTGTATAAACGCGTTCGTCTGCGGGGTATAACCACACGTGATGAAAGAACACAAAAGAAATGCAACGACTGACACAGGAGCAGAGAGAGAGCCAATGGCCGAAATGGGGGAAACACAGGTCCAAATTGCCAGAGGGTTTGGTTGTACACCATTGACAGTAGCCAGGCTGATTCAACGGTACAGGCAGACAGAGAGGACACAGGACAGGCCTAGAACCGGACGACCCCGAGTGACAACACTACAGGAAAACGGTCAGATACGGCTCATTCACCTGCGAAACAGATTCGTTACGGCGACGGCGACGGCGACGGCGACGGCAGCAACAGCGTTGGGACATCCCATTAGCCAACGTACAGTACTACGACGACTTCGTGCTGCTCGAATCCGAGCGTATCGTCCTTTCCGAGGAATGGTACTGACTGCTCAACATTGACGCCTGAGACTGCGATGGGCGAGGCAGGTTCGACGCTGGCAAGTGAGAAATTGGCGTCGAGTGCTGTTTACTGATGAAAGTCGGTTTAACTTGTTTCGAAATGACGGCAGAGAACGAGTTTATCGACGCAGAGGGGAACGTTTGGCTCCGGCGTGTATTCGAGAGGTCCAGCCATTCAGCGGGGGAGGTGTCATGGTGTGGGGCGGTATTTGTGGAGATCAGAAGACTGATTTGGTGATCATACAGGGAAACCTGAACGCTGTGCAGCACAGAGACCAAGTGCTGCAGCCAGTTGTGCTTCCGTTCTTACAAAACCAACAGCAGGGGACATTGTTTCAACACGACAAGGCCCCATTCTAAACGAGCAGAACGTTGACGTTTTGCCCTGGCCTGCCCACTCACCCGATATGAATCCTATTGAACATTTGTGGGACCATCTTGACAGACAGATTAGAACACACCATCAGCCTCCCGTCAACAGACAAGAATTGCAGCAGGCCCTGAGAGACGAGTGGCAACGGATTCCAGTCCACGTCATCAGAAGACTGACGTCATCGATGAGGCGGCGTATCACAGCATGCATTGAGGCAGCTGGAGATCATACACGCTATTGAAGGCAACTGTGTCGACATTGAACTTTTAGTGTGTCTGAAAATTTTTGGGTGACATTTCAGACAACTTTCGAAAATGAAATTTCGTACCCCACCATTGTTTACCTTGAGCTTGAATTACCTGTGATTGCACAATTTCATTCAAACTGTGGTTGATCAATCATTTGTTACCCCTCCCTAGCTTATATTATAATTCACAACAAAACCTCTTCTTGTTATTTTTTTATCGATCATGGAACACAACCTATTCTTTCTTTTGCCGCCCAGTTTGTATATTGATGTGAAAACAGCAGATGAATACAATCACAATACAATTTGTTGAATAACATCTCCCTGTATTACATGCGTCATTATATGTTTAGCGAAGACATTATTAACAGCCGTTTGTATTGGAAATTAATATGATATATACACACAGCTGTACATATGAATAGTGTGCAGCTGTACACATGTTATCCCATCAGTTCAATATGCAACCTTCAGAACACGGTCACACAGCAGGTCACAGTCGCTGTTGAGTTCCCGGGAGGCTCGGGAGGCCCGGGAGGCCCGGAGCAAAAGGTTCCATTGTCCTGGGGACACCTGCTAAGGACAGGGCTAGTTCCCAGTTACTAGTTCCAGGAATCGTAGGACAATGGTTCCTTGATTACATGTCCTGTCAAGGCAATGAGTCCTGGTACGAGGGTTGATTGATAAGTTCTAAACCTCACATAAAAGGAAGTGCGTAACAGTGAAATTTTATTTTTGTTTGTTGTTGTTTAACGCCGCACTCAGCATTATTCCAGCTGTATGACGGCGGTCGGTAAATAATCGAGTCTGGACTAATCAATCCAGTGATTGACATCATGAGCATCGATCCACGCAATAGGGATACGATGACATGCATCAACCAAGTCAGCGAGCATGACACCCGATCCCGACAAGCATGGTCGCCATTTACGGCAAGCAAGCCACACCTATTCTACCCCGGATCTTCACGGGTCTCTTATGTTGTGGACGTGGCATGGTGTAATAGTGTCATGGTGTATATTCTCAAAAAACTTGTTTAATTGGACAAATTGTTTCGCTGTGACGAGCCATCTTCATGAATGGCTTTTGGTTTTGAGCCCATTTGCAAGTAATTGATCACTGCTCGTACCTCAGGTTTGTCCATACACTTCGTTCTCAATATGTTACAATGGATGTTTTCCGACGTTACCCCGCATTAATAGGCCTGTAAATAATCGCATCTGGTCGATAAACCAATGGTTGACAACATGAGCATCGATCAATTCAGTCTGAACACGATGAACACGATTCATTGTCAAAATTGCTGTGTGGGGTTTGGCATTGTCGTGTTGGAAGATCAAACCGGGTCCATGTGCTGCCATAAAAGGCAGAAGTTCTGGTGCCAGTACCTGATCGCGGTAAGCAGCAGCGTTGAGGTTGCCACGGATGACAAGAAGCCTGGAACGTGCATTGCCACAGAAAGCACCCCACACCATGACACTTCCGCCTCGAAATCTGTCAACTTCCTGTACACAACATTTGGCGTAACGTTCATGACGGCGCATCCACACCCTCGCCCTACCATCAGCAAATCGAAGATTAAATCGGGATTCATCACTGAAGACGACTTGATTCCAGTTCCTCTGAGTCCATCGTAAGTATCGCTGTGCCCAAAATTGACGTTGACGTCTGTGTAATTGAGTCAGAATCGGCCCGCAGTATGGCCGTCGTGCTTGAAGGTGAGCAGTTCTCAGACGGTTTTGAACAGTTTGCGCATTCAGTCTACCCCTAAACAGTTCATTTCTTGTTGAATCCGTCAAAAATCGGTTACGGAGGTGACGTAAGACAATCTGACGATCGTCTGCATGTGACTTCACACGTGGTCGACCTGGCCGAGGGCGATCAGCGGTGGTACCCGTTTGCTGTAGACGCGTCTGTAAATCATAAACAGTCCGTCGACTACAACCCATCGTCCTTGCGACTTCAGCTACGGACGTTCCCGTCTGCAACATGCTGATGACACGTTCACGTTGCACATTTGAAAGGCGTGGCATGACAAATGGCCGTAAAGACTTTTGTTTTCTTGTGTTTTTCTTTTTTTGTTAATGACTGCTAACAAGAAAACACGTGCGGAATTATGGCCACGTGACCAGTTGCACGTGAAAAACCACTTTTGCCACTATAGTGCTGTGCACTTGATTTTGATCCATTCACCTGCACAAAAACGGGTGTTATCTGAAGAAAATACGTGGCCATTACTGTTTAAATACACAATAAGGGCCCACAATGATAACTGGTCAAAATGTTAAAATTTTAGGATTG